TGGTGAGTGACTTTAATAACCATATGGATCTGGCTCTAGATAGATTCCCTAATACTGCAGAGGGTCCCTCGCAGACAGCATTTGCGAGGCTATGTGCGGAGATGGGTTTGATAGATGTATGGCGTACTAGACACCCGACTGATTCCCAATATACCTGTCACTCCAAAACTCATGTCACGATTTCGCGTATCGATTATGTACTTGCTACGGCTGAAGACCTGCCGCTCATCTCCGAAGTTATTATCCAACCCAGATGCCTATCAGACCACTCGCTGATGGTTGTGCGAATCCCTTTTGAGCATTGACTATCCTCAGCCCCCTGGCGCCTTAACCCCTTCTGGTTGACGTTGCTACCGGCTGATAGGCCCCCTGGAGGCTGATATTTCATCCTTTTTATCTATCAACCTACCCTCCTCCTCTGTACTAGTTGTATGGGATGCTCTTAAAGCCTTCCTGAGAGGCCTATTTATCCACCGTATTAGTATTGTTAAAACTAAATCTAGAAGGGAGGAGGTGGATGCTCGACAGGCAGTGATGGACACTGAACGGGCTTACATCCATAACCCCTCTCCTCTCACTCGCAAGGAGTGGTCTGCTGCTACGGAGGCTTTGGAGGGTTTGGTTAAACGGAAATCTGGGTATAAATCCTTTTTTATGAATCAGTCCTATTGGGCGGAGGGTGAGTTGACCGGCAGGCTTCTAGCTCAGATAGCGAGATCACAACAAACAGCCTCATATATTGGTTCTATTAGGGACTCTGACGATGCTATTACTTCAGATGGAAGGCAGATTGGGGAGGTCTTCTCTAAATTTTACACCACATTATACTCGACCGGGGCTGACTACTCGGATTTGGACCTAGGTTCGTACTTGTCCAGGGTCCCCTTACCAACCCTGTCTGCCTCTGACTGTTCGGAGCTGGAAGCTCCGATAACCCAGGAAGAGATGGAGAGGGCGGTTGCCAGCTTCCCAAACGGCAAAACCCCCGGTCCCGACGGCCTCCCCATTGAGGTGTTTAAAAAATATGGCAGTTCTTTGATCCCCACTTTACACCAGACGTTTAATGAGGCTTTGGAAGTAGGGCATTTGCCTTCTTCCATGTATGATGCCACTATTGTAGTTCTACCCAAAAAAAATAAGGATCCGCTCCTACCAGACTCATACCGGCCTATTTCCCTCCTTAACACGGACGTCAAAATATTGGCTAAGGTCTTGGCCAACAGATTGTCGTCCAAAATTGCGTCAATTATTCACCCTGATCAATCTGGCTTCCTCCCCAATAAATCGACTGCAGTGAACATTCGCAGAGTGTACATGAATATGCAAATTCCCATTGACAATGCCGGCAATAGTGCGCTGCTGGCCTTGGATATAGCGAAGGCCTTTGATAGTGTAGAATGGCGCTATCTGTGGGGTGTACTTATCTCCTTCGGGTTTGGACCCCAGTTTTGTAAATGGGTTAAACTGCTTTATTTTTCCCCTATGGCATGTGTGAGGGTCAATGGCTCCCTATCCCATGAATTTCTACTTCACAGAGGTACTGTTAATTAGGTCTTCACCAGAGGTGGTGGGTTTTAGAAGGGGTGGGCTTGAAGAGAAGATTGTGCTCTATGCAGACGATACTCTTTTATTTCTGGCTGATACGCAAACCTCACTGAATGCCGCTTTAGCACACCTAACCCAATTTGCTAAATACTCAGGGCTAGCGGTTAACTGGGATAAGTCCAACCTCCTACCTCTTGACCCACTGCCGGCTGCAGTGGTCTCTGTGAAATCTTGCACTAGTCTCACCTATTTGGGAATAAAGCTCTCCCCCTGTATAACTAACTATATTGATATTAATTTGCTGCCCCTGTTAAGTACATTTAAAACCAAACTGACAGCGTGGCTTAAGCTCCCGCTTTCGGTGGTGGGTAGAACTAACCTTATTAAAATGGTGTGGATGCCGCAGCTGTTATACGTCCTACACAATTCGCCAATGTGGATTCCCAAAACATTTTTTAAACAGATTGATGGCATCTTCAGAGATCTCGTCTGGAAACGGAGACAAGCTTGCATCAAGTAAGAAACCTTACATAGGCCTAAAAATATGGGGGGTCTTGCTCTCCCGAACCCATGGCTATAGTTTCTGGCCTCCCAATTGCAACATCTTTCTGGCTGGGATTGTACTGAACCCATGCCGTTGATACCTTCGCTGCTCACTCCACTATTTGCGGGTCAGGAACCGCTGTGTGCACTGGAGACCAAAGTATATACAAAACAGCTCTCCCACCTGGCTACCATTCAATTGATGGGCAGGGTGTGGAATGCTGTAAAAGGCATTCTCCATATAGAGGGGTGCACTAGATATACTCCGTTATGAGTACCTCACGGAACTGCTCAAATTGAAGGGCTTCGCTGAGTGGAATAAGGCTGGGGTAGGGAGGGTTCACCAATTTTACTCGGAGGCATCTATGTGCTCTTTTTCCTACCTACAATCCCAACATACCATCACTAATAAGAACTTTTTTAAATATCTGCAGGTCCGACATGCTCGTTTCTCAATTTGGGACGACCCCTCCTCCTATTTGCCCCACTCCGGTGTTAGATGCGGTGGTGCGTGCAACTCATACAAAGGGTATAATTTCATTTATATATTCCAACTTACTAAATAGCTCCACTTCTCCATTGATGGAGAGGGTGAGAGACAGGTGGACTCAAGAAGTAGGGCCCATAGATAATGAGCTATGGGAAGATATCCTCTCTAACGTAACCCTGACTTCCATGTCGGCAACCCACCGCCTCACTCAGCTTTCCATTCTACATAGGTCGTATGGTACACACAAATTCTTGACTAAGATAGGTGTCCGGGATGATCCGTCCTGTCCTAAATGTGGATTCCACCAAGGCTCACTAATACATCTATTATGGAGATGCCCCAAGCTGGTCAGATACTGGGGCCAGGTAATCACACTGATCAATTCAATTTTTGATGCTTCTATTGACCCCTCCCCCCTTGTTTGTCTGCTGGGTGGCATAGACGCCCTCAGTATGACTACTAACTTAAAGACGGCTATCCATAGGGCTCTTTTTACTGCTCGGAGACTTATCGCCCGTAAATGGATATCGCAATCCCCTCCTACAGTTGCTGAGTGGATACTGGAACTAGATAGGATCACTGCCTTTGAACGGGTGACATACCAATGGAGAGGGCTAGAAAATAAATTCCTCCTGATTTGGTCCCCCTGGCTGAGCGATCTGATTTAAAAAAAAAGGGGGCTGAAGCTTGCATCTCCTGCATATAGGGTTGGCATTGGTTTAAAGAGCTGAATAGTACAATACTGCCATTTTTAATTGCTTCTCCATTTGTGTCCTCCCGTTACCCTAAGGAGAACTATGGGGAAAAGCCCTGACCCCATAGTTCTCCTTTAAATAAAATAAAAGCGGTATTACCTCTTGGGAAAAAGTTTACCAGTAAATGGACTAGATGTCGTCAAAAAAGGAGGAGGTGAAACCCACAAGCATTTACAGAGAAACTGCAACACCCTTGATCACAGAACACAAAATTGGCCTTCATAGTATCTGGGCAATTCACATAGTCCCCTGAAATTGGTAACGTGGCTGAAAAGTTACAACCCTAAACTTTAAACAATCATTGTTGAGTTGGGAGTGGTGCACTGAACTAAAGCATTTGAACATACTATAAAACGTAACCCCCCCCCCAAAAAAAAAAAAAAAAAACACCTAAAAACCTGAAAAAAACCCATACAGACTAACATTCAGAGGGCCTCCAATGTATGCTCCCTCCACACAGGACCTTCAGAAATATACAACAGCTGTTTAGCTGATGTCAGTGGTTGATATGAAGTATCATTTCACAGATTGCATTGCAACTACTCAGGAGAGGAAGCATTATCAACTCAGACTATTCTGCAAGATGATAAAGCCACCAAAGAAAGCTACTCAATGGGGTTGTTCTACTACATGAGAAGAGGCCATTACCATAGCATAATGAATGGTTGTAATTAAGGTTAATCTGTGTTCACTTTAAAATACCAAGTTGGGTGAGGGATTAAAAAAAACAGGATTTTTTTTCCTAGCCCATGATTGGGTATTTAATGTGAACACGGCTTCACCTCAATCACTTTGCTAGATAAGCAGTTCTCATTCCTTTAGTAAATCAACCTATATGTCCTGCATGCCTAGCCAGCACAACAAATCTAGTCAAGCTTCTATGATGGGCTATTTAAATTGCTCTCTGATGAAAATGCAAAGCTCTTATATTATAGAAACTCTAGGATGCTAAGCTTTTAGAGCAACTTTATTTGGCCTACATAAGACTGAAAATTAATCATCAATGACTACCACACCTAAACTAAAAGGCAGTATAAGGCTATGATTTACTAAATACAAAAACAAATGTACCAAGCTGGCATAGTAAAAAGAGAATATAGGAAATACGGTGCTAGGTTTTTGTGATAGTGAAAGTTTCACTACATTTTGGAAGTACAGATTTTAAGGCCTTTTCTGGTCCCTCATGTCTCCATAAGCTTTGGCAGTCCATGGCAAAACTGTGTAATTGAATCAGGATCATAAAATATCTCTAAAGCATTCTAGAATATTCAGTAATAATCAGTATTATGCAATGAGGTGCAGCTTACCAGGGAACAGGGCTTAGCTATGGCGAGCAGGAATGGCTCAAATGCTGCAGGAGGCAGGACATAGCATTACCCTTCCACATTACCCTAAGACCATCTGCCCTACTCACCTTTTTGTAACATTTTGCTTTTTCTTCCACTATGGACACAGTTTGAGCATTATAACCAGTCATATTGCAGCTTAGCACTTTAACTGCAACTGTATAATTGTAAAAGACAGTTCTTGAAATTGCTTGAAATTGCTGCTGTGCTATTTAAAATTGTCTGCTAATTTGTGAACCCTTGTCAAGTTATTGTTCAATGAGAGATGTATGGATGCATAAAGATTTTCTCAACAAGTTTGAATGCAATGTAAATTCCTACCTGTACTGCTCGATATGTTGACATCATTACTGATGTCTGGAACTCCTCCTCCCTTAAGTGATGCCACACACGTGTAGGTCCCAAAGTCTGTAAATTTTAAGTCAATTATATCCAGATTAGTGGTACCCGGAGAGACATCGGGGTCCGTCTGAGTGATGACCATCCTTTCAGAACTTCGCAGTGGCCGCCCATTTTTAAACCAACTGAATGTCAGCTCTTCGGATGGGACTGCTTCCACTTGGCAGGATATTTTTACCTCTCGACCTATCTGGATGTTGTCATCTTTGTGGTAGGGGTCTGGGGTTATCCAGTAACGGCCTTTTTTTAAAGCTAGGATAAGAAAATAGGTAACATACAATTAGCATGATTATCTAAAAGTAAGGAGCGAGTCTGCTTCAAAGGCAATTAGACATTAATTGGAGTGCAGTCACACTGTCAACATTTCTAGCACAACAAACATGATGAATTCAAATGTTCCATCATAAACTACAAAACTGCAAAACATTGACAAGCTAAAGCTGGCCATAAACTTTTGAAGATGATAAGACGCAAACACTCGGGAAAGTACACTTGAGAGTGATTGACTTTGTCAAGTATATAAGTTTAGGTACATGAAGAGGGAAAGGTTGAGGTGAGAAGAGAGAGGCTGCTATTGGCTCCAGCTTATTTGTGGAGGCAGTAATGACTGGTACAGGTATACCAACATGTGCAATTGCTCATTGCCTCCTGCTAGCATCAATAGACATGACAGCTGGATGGAGTCATCTTTCATTTCATGAATGTAAAATGGTTAATCTGTGCTTGACCAGTCACAAGTCTTGGTGATAACGGCAACTATAAAGTGACCTGAGTAAGCTGGTGTCATAGGTGAAGCAGAGAGAAAGGAGGATCGAATGCTCTGTAGATCCTTATTCCTCAGATCTGCAACTTGAAAACCACAGTCAGAACAACTTCAACAAACTGCGTTCTAAACCTTTATCTCTCCTCTTCTGTAGAAGTCCATGGGGGAAATCAACATTAATTGAGAATGAGAGGCTTATAAAGAGATGCTTCCACAGCTCTGGCCCAGCTGCACGATCAAGGACACAGAGCTGAGATTAAGCTGTCACACATCACCACCTTATCAATGAATGAAAGGTCTGAAGAGAGAAGAACGCAGGTGTTGATAAGAAAATTCAAACCACAATAGCTCAAATATCACACAGCCATTACTTCTTCCCCTTCAAGCTAAACTGTAGTAGTAGCCTACTGGTACCAACTCTTGTCCTGGTAATCCTCCAAAACCTGGGCACCCACAACTTCCTGCTTTTAAAAATATAATCTCTGTGGATTTGCTTTTAGTGCATCCCGCTACGCAGAAATTACCCTCAGCAATTTTGAAAGTGGTCAGCCCATGGATCATGCTGCTGGCAGGTGAGCCTTAGAAGTAACTATTGCAAATGTCAGAATCTGAATAGTGCTGCTGGTTTGAAATACCCCAGCATATGCTGATATGTTCATGTTTGTATCACTGAGATGTAATTCTGTCTTTTGGGCAGTTGTCCACTCTCCGTTCTGCCCCAACATTGACTAGTCGCTGACGGCCACAATTCACACGTTCAGACCCAGATTTTTGGCTGACAGTCCAGTCTTTAAACAATTTAACTACAGCTGCTCTTAAACATTTAACGCATTCTGCTGTTTTGCTGATACTCGCTCCATGGCTCCAAGCGCTAACAATCATCCCACGTTCAAAGGCTGTTAAATCGCTTTGTTTACCCGTATCTTCAGAAAAAAATCACTTCTACTGTCGTGGTAAACAACCTGCTTCCCTATTTCTAATGGTCTGGCCCTCTAGCAACTTCAGCGCGAAATTATAGCTAATTATAGCTAATTTGCCTACAAACATCAGGTGGTCATAATAATCGGGCCACTCAGTATATCTATCTATCTATCTATCTATCTATCTATCTATCTATCTATCTATCTATCTATCTATCTATCTATCTATCTATCTATCTATCTAGATAGATATATATATGATGTACAATGCTGTATTCTTATATAATGTGCTTCTAAGCTTCCAAGCAAGTAAAACTTAATTCAGCATTCCTCAAGATCTCAGTGTTTCATCTAAACACATCACCAATACTGCTTTCTGGGTTTAAGGTACTTTCAGTGTACCCTGCAGCAATGGAGTCTACTGTTATTTGTATCCTATTCCCTAGTTTTTGTGTGAAAACTTTGTTTTGGACTTATATGAAGTAAAAGATGCACTTTTCAGGCTGTTGATTGATGGACTACACATTTCAGTAATAGATATACAGATACAGATGCACTTTTCCCATAAGCCGATCACATTCAAATACATCTAAAACACTTCAAAATAAAAAATAACCAAAACAAAATCCATTTAATGCACCAGCCAGTTAAGCAACAGGGTTATTTAGGAGATGTGCACAGTGAATGCTGACCTTGCATTTTACTTAATGTAATTGCTCCTACGGCGTTCATTCCGTAGAGGGGATATATCACTATACTTTTGCTTCTGTAACCGTTTCAAATTTTAATAACCACTACCGAGCTTAATACAGAATCTCTTCTGCCCTGATGTAAAGGGTATTTTTAGACTCCTCTCAAGTACACAAGCCAGTATATTCTTGAATAATTTATTAATTCCAATGTTTAATACGCAGATTTACACTATTGCTTGATTACAGGCGGTCCGTTGCTTACTTTGGGAACAGCACAAGAATATTTATACAGCTTAAACAACAGTGTTGCAACTTTTGCTTATTTTGCCTTCCAAGTGGAGCAAATACAGGGTGAAAAAATGCACTGATTTTTTAAAGGTTAGTGTGCTTTTTCTTGTGCACTTATTTTGAGTTATTCAAAGATTTACCTAAAATGTATATTTGATATATATATATATATACACACACACACACACACACACACACACACACACATATATGTATACACACACATACGTATTACTTTCTTTATGGCTATGTCATTGTATATACACTATAGGGGTGCATGCATGTATAATAGAAAGAAATACATAACTGCGTTTCCTATAAATAGCAAGCAATTGCACAAATCAATTTCTAACTTTGCCAGATAGAAAGTTTCATATTCAAACATTGAAAGAGAAAAGACAGAGAAAAGGAAATCCTATCTTGATGAAAGCGCAGGTGTCACTCGTTCGGAGTTCGACATGAACTGGAAGGCAAATGTTCTAATAGTCTGAAGTCATTTCCATCCCATTCTGGATGAGAATTCATCATATGCACACACAGCCTTGTCTCCACGCTTGTAATATGCACTGACCAGTCTCGGGTGAAATTGAGAACACGCTACAGTTTTTCCTCTCCCCGCTCAGCTCATATTCAGATGCATGTAACCAATGAAGTGTGACATTGTATTTCATCAACGCCTACACGTGCACTGTACACCTCTCTGAAAATACATTTATTGAGGAGCAGCGGCTTAGATCAAAATAAGGATGATGTGAGTTCTGTCGGCATACAAACCAGGAATACAGGAGGAGTCGGCAACTTAGGTCATTTGATGGTGCATTGGCATTAAAGGTGAATGCCCAGATAAAAAAAAAACTGGAAAACGTCCTTGGTATTTTTTGGTAACACATGAGCTAAAACTGATTACTTTTTTTTTTCAAGGTGCAAAATTCAGGGCTGTCATCTTTATCCTTGCTCCTCTATCACTGACCAGAACCACACAAGCCCATAGCAGGTATCCCAACACTTCAATAATGCATGCTAGTTCCAGTTCCCATTGTATGAAGGGAGGATAAAGACTACAGCCCTAGAGTTCAATAAATTAGTCAACAATGGTAGAGCTCATATTTCTATACTGGCAGGTTCTGATATATTCTCTTTCTGCCTGTGACTGCATCTGTACCTAAGGTTTTGAATCATTTCCTGTCAGGTAAAAACAAGTACATTACTAAACCATTCCATGAATCATAGGAGAGGCCAATATTGGATCGTTCTGCCCTGAACATTGGATCCAGAAATTGGAGGCTGGGACAGGTACTTCCCAGCATGCTCCACTATCTCGCATTGCTATGTCATAGCAAGAACTAGTTTAACCGTCCCTTGGGTCAATGAGATAATCATATTTATGTAGCCTTCTGAAGTTGTGTGTCTATTTAATTTAGTGTATTTTATTGCTGGACTGTAGCCAGTCTGAGCATCCATTTTTATGTGTTCTGTTGGTTTTATGGAAGCCTGGTGGGTTGATTAATTCCTTCTGTTGCTTGGAGGAGGCTCCAGCAAGCATTGTAAGAAAGTTAACCACAGGTTATGAATATTTATCTGACGCAACCAATCTTTGAGAGGCTGGCTCTGTGGTATGGCTGAGGAGATGATAAATATTAGGGTACACATTTTCAGAAGGCTCTTTTCCCTGGGGCTTCTTCCCGGGAGGAGGCCTGTGTGAGGATCTGCTGTCAGGGCCTGGCCTCAGCATGTGCCACGTGCTGGGGGCTCTGAGGCTTAAATTATGGCTTGAGTGGATACCTGATGTTAGCTGGCCTGGAGGAAGGATCTTCTTGCTGGAAAGTGTTGCAGAGGAGCTGGTTAGAAGCTGCCATCTGGACCCTGTAAAAAGGATTAATCGCCCATAGATCCATGTGTCATACAGAGGGAAGAGAAGCTAGTTGGTGTAGTAGAAGGACTGTGACTGCTCTTACCAGGTCTTTGGGCTTGTTCACGCCAAGCGCGGAGCAGATCCAGAGCAGAGCAGGTGCAGACCGGATCAAAAATGCGTCCAATGTATTCCAATGGTATTTTTTGCTCCAGTTCTCATTGCAGCGTGCAGTTGCAGAGCAGATCCAGAGCAGGTGAAAAAACTGCAGCAGGCCCTATTTTCTCTGCTCTGGAACGCATCAAAAACGCATGCCAATGCCTGGAACACACTGAAAGCCCATTTTAAACGTAAACAATTTTTTTTAACCAAAAAGAGCCCGGAACGCGTCAAAAACGTGTCTAAAAGACTAGTGTGCGTGTGCAGAAACCTGACCGGATCTGCTCTGCATTTGGTGTGAACAAGGCCTTAGATTTACCGGCTGCCCTCTTTCTATCAGCATCTAATTTTGAAGGTCACTCTAATAGTACCTGATGCTGTTGCCATCTGCCCTCTATTTTGTGCTTTCGGATATCCTGCGTCCCTAAACCTCTCTCCTGGCTTTTCCTGTATTCAACAATAAATTGTAAAAAGACCCTGAGAATTGAGCCTGATCATTACAAAAAGTTGTTGGTTTTATTGGGTACTTTTTGTGACAAACTTCACATTTGAGACAGACTCCAGACAAAACCTTTTATGGA